CTCTCTCTCTCTCTCTCTCTCTCTCTCTCTCTCCCCTCCACCTCCTCTCTCATTCCAGCCCCTCTCTTTTCTTCCAACACCAACGATCACTGTGCAATCCACCCATATCATAAACGTTACCATAAAATAATTAGAAAACATTTCTGTGTTTTCCCCCTTATCTACTCGGCTAAGTACGTAAGGCAGGAATTTACAGAAGGACTAGGAGTGACCGAGGAGAAAGGGAAAAGCGGCACGGGATTATGTGATTGAACTTTGGAACAGCAGACGGCAATGTACGTGTGTGTATAGGTTAGTTATAACTTACGCCGCCCGACACGCGTACTAAGAAAAATCATACACGCGATCTCCATTAAACCAATCGAATACATATATTTCAACAAAATATACATGTACGTTGGTGTCCCTAATCTTATTCTTGCCTCTCTTGCTGTTACCTCACCTGTAACTTTAAAATGTAGGCCTACTTATTATTGAAACATTTCAGGATTTTGAGTGACACACTAATTTGTTCCTGTTTATATTTAATTGTTACCGAAAGGCCATAAGTAATGTGGGTTTTTTTTTTGTCCAATCCATTTGTCTTTTGTTTGCAGTAGGCCTGTTTTAAACTTAATCACCTGATCGTGAAAAGTCTTATATCATAATTTACTGGTTTTATATATACTTCCACGGACTTAGATAACATCTAATTCCGTGGTTTTACGTATAATACAGAGGTATTATACGTCTCTGGTTTTACTAAGTATTTTACACCACAAAAGAATAGTCTTTACAAATAAATTTTCTCCGAATGGACCATAAATGGATTACCCTTTATTTCATATGTTTCATAAAAATATTGCAAATATCAAAGATTGCAAACAATGTTTTGAAACATATATAAATCAAAAATATTCAGGTTACATGCAAACCTCATTCGTGGTGTGCTACCTTCTGGGGGGGAATAGAGTAGTCGTTCTTTGATAATCGTAGTTTGTGTCATTTACACAAGTATATGTTGGCGCTGTTAAACATTATCCGGTGTTGGAGGACACTGGAAACATGGAATACTGACGATACATTGAAGCGTACCAAGTCTTTTTCGGGGTATCGCTTGCAGGTTAGACAAAATGAGGATCCTTCTTTGGGCTAATAGGAACATCGTTCCATGCCTGAAGCGCACAGCAGGCCCTACCAATGGCTTATTCAGATCGCATGTACCGGCGGCTGGTCTTACATCCATCTCCGACCCGGAGTATGCCAGTCGGCAACCACATCGGATGAAACCATATAACTATGAAAAAAGACCAATATTCCATCCTCAGATTTTCACAAACAAAACGGTCAACCGATTAGATGAAAACTCCAAGCTTATCATTATAGAAGGAAATATCGGCATCGATAAAGAAACGTTTGCAAAAAAAATTGCTGAGGAATTCGGAATGAAATTCATTCCCGAATTCAAAGAAGAAGAGTGCTTATTGACATCACGTGGATTTGATAGACGAGAACTGAATGACAGAGTTTCAGACAAGTTAAAAGTTTGGGATTTCGAAATGCTGTATTCGACCGAGAATCCAAGAGATGCCTGTCATTTCCTGAGAACACAAATCGAATTGTACATTGGGAAATTTGAAAGATACAGGGAGGCTGTGAGCCATATATGGAATACGGGTAATGTGCAAATGCAAACCAAAACGTGTTGTAACAAATAAGATCGTTCAACCACTCGGGGGTGAGATTAATAGACTCTCTTACCCTGGACAGGTGTATCCGCACTTTTGCCGGTGTGATGTTAACATCACATGCTAAATTCAGGGTTGACATCAATGACATGACTTTGATGGATTGTTGACCTGACGTCATACCATTGTTATGAATAGGGGAATCCCCACGGTCTCAACCCAAGAGTGAGACAAAGAAATCTCACACCAGAAAAGTGCAGATACACCTGTCAAGGGTAAGAGAATTCCTTGTCTCACCCTCAGGTTGAGACGGGGGATTCCCCTATTTATAACAATGGTATGACGTCAGGTCAACAAAACTATGACGTCACGTCAACCCTGAATTTGGCATGTTATGTTATCATTACATTGTGTATACATATGATACACAATGGGAGAACAGGGTAAGAGAAAAAGAATCATTCACCCCCCTGTGGTTGAGATTGGGGAATTTTAAAATCGGGGGGGGGGGGGGGAAGATTCTTAAGTTGCCAAACACTCGGCAATCCCCATAGCCTTGTGTTTGGCAACTCAAGAATCTTTCCACGAGGGTTGATATTCCCCTATCGCACCCTCAAGGGAGTAAATGATTCTTTTTCTCTTTCCATGTTTACCCATTATGATGTATGTTACATATGTAAAGTTACAGGCTTTTGAATAGCGGATACACCTGTCCAGGGTAAGAGAAAGGGGAATCTCAACCCGAGGGAGAGGATTTCTCTGTTGCCAAACATGAGGCATTGTTGAGTCTTTGACAAGTTTAAAAAGAATCTTTACCCAAGGGTTGAGATAGCCAATCTTACCTCAAGAGGGGATATGGATCATTTAACATTTTAAGATTTTAATTTTAATTTAATATTATTACCAAGTTGAAAAAAAAATGTATACTGACTTTGAAGATTCGTTTCATTATGTTTGTTTAGAATACAATCCTGATGTATATATTTATCCATGCATATGTTGCCATCACACTTGATTTTGTTACTGCTTAGTTTTATTTTATTTTAATGATGATTCACATTTCTTCACAACAGGTCAAGGTGTGGTAATGATCAGAAGTGTTTTCAGTGATCTCGTCTTCGCAAAAGCACTGAGAAGGGCAGGAGTATTGACCCCCAAAGGTGATTATATTTTTATCTTAACTGGGATCAGCAAATGTAATCAATAGTCAAGAAACAAAATGATACCACAGTTCAATCTGTATAAAAGTGTTTAGATGATAATTTAATAATTTAAATTAAATCAAAGATTGATGACTGTAAATTTAAAATTTATATATATGAATACAAATATTTATTTCATTTCATATTTTTTTTGTGAGAATCAACATTTTAGCTGTGTCTCTATATTAAAACTGTCCAAAAATAAAACTGAAATATTTTTTAATGGCAATAACAACAAAAAAAGTCTCTGATGATCTTTTTTTTCTGTTTAAGGTATTTCCTGTGCATATATTCTCATAGTATGGTTGTGTTGCTATGTACTGGTATTAATTAGCTCAGCTGGCCCAAAGGTGTATATGTTAACCTCTGAAACCTCCAATGAGGGACCAGAGATCTCCCTCATTCCACATTTTCAATGAGGGAGAAAGTGCGTAAAATGCGACTAAAACTACTTTGCTAAATTTATCTTTCCCTTTTTATGCATCAAAATATCTCCAAAAAGCATGAATTTTATTCAGACACATCTGCTACGATCATTACACACACCCTGCACTAACTAGGTGATCATTTGACCACAGGATGAGGGTTTTGAGTTTGGTCTTGAATGAAGGAGTTTAGAGAGCCTGAAAATCCGATGATATATATAAATTTGATCAACCAGACTTATGGGAGCCATTTTGCTCAATTATGAAACAAAAGTCTTCATGAGTGTTTGTAGTATCATAAAGTGCCAAAGTACCACATTTGAATTTTGACCAGTCAAAGGCCAAATGTCTGTACATTTATGACTGTCAGTTTGTCCATTCAGAAGATGGATGTCAGGGTTTTCATTCACAGTGTCATAAAATGCCTGCAAATCAAATTTGAGTGAAACTTGATTTTGACCAATAGGCTTTTGAGGCCAACTATGATCATGGCGAGTCGACCATCTTGGCTTACAAATTGGAAAGTTGGGCATTGCATTTTATCCCAAAGGTCTTATTAAATGAAAAAAGCCATCCAGTAGCACAAAAAATCATTTATGGGACTTTTGTTGAGTCCCAAAAACACATGTTTGTTCTTCTGACAGATTTTTCAAGGTCCCTTAATGCATTTGTATGGCTTGTATTGATAGAAAGACAGACTTATCATTCAGAATCATTGTATTATATATATATTTACTTGGTACATTTTATTGGATGTCTTATCACTTCCAATACACCTAATTTTTATGTAGTTTTTATTTTATTTTTATATCAGGCTACCAACACTACACCCGTATATACTACAACACCCAGGTAGAGCTGATTAGTCCGCATCTCTTTCTTTACTTGGATGCTCCTGTTGAATACTGTATGGAACAGATCAAGAAGAGAGGCCGAGTAAGTTGAATGGCAGTCCATAGAATTCAAATCTTGAGTCACTGATCATGTTCCTAATTAAGATTTCTGAAATTTAAAAATGCCCCTTACAAAATGTTCAAAGGGCAAAGTTATTGTTTTCATGTTTTCATAGCTTGCCTATGGGCGGGCACCCATAAAGCTCGATAAATAATCAATTGCAATTTGTAGTTGGCTCAATATCTCCGAGCGCTATATCCTTCCACAGAAACATGTCCCTGTGGAAAAGAGGTAGAAAATCACAAAAATCTTATTTAAAATATTTATATAAAGTTATATTTTGTCACAATATTTAGGCCAAAAAACATGTGTTTCCAGTTTCCCTACTGACCCTAGATTTTTTTTTTTTTTTTTTTTTGGCATTTAGTGATAAGCACTGCTTAATTTAATCAATTTCATTTCTAAATTCGCGCTATTGTGCATGTACAATACGTACAACCACAGTACAATAAGCACAGGTACAACCATCGTACCTCCAGTGTGTCAGAAATGTTGGACCACCTAAAGCTGTGCCCTCTAGCAGATAGACGTAGAGATGCTCGTCTGACCATGCTTCATAACATTGTAAACCAGAAAGTCGCTATCGTAAAATCAGACAGATTAATCCCTACAGTTAGAAAATCCCGAACAAACCACCAGTTTTCATATCAAATTCCCCACTCAAAACCCCAGACCAAAAAGGCATCATTCTTCCCTCGAACTATACTCGAGTGGAATAAACTCCCACCTGACATTATTTCGAGCCCCACAACGGAATTATTCAAATCAGCCCTCTACCGTCCCCTTTCAAATGCAAATTAGACCATCTCGTATCTTTTAAAAACAATCTCTTTCCATGTTTCACTCCTCGTCTGACATTTTATCTTCAAATTGTTGAAGTTGATCAGTACCATTTAGAAGTAGAAGTACACTGAAATACAAAAAAAATATATTAACAACCAGATTAGAAATATATATATGTAATTATGCGTACTGTACGTCAATTCTCGAGTAAAAAAAAATTGCACAGATTGTTAAAGAATGAACATCATAATTTGGCTCCTGCAATCAACACCCTTAGGACATATTGTTTGACTAAAGGAATTACAACTGAGGGTTTCATTTTCTTCAAAAAGTCATTTCAGGTGATCTGATGCATGAAGCATTTTATATAATATTGGTCAAAAGGTCTACACTCATGCAGCTTCCTAGCTTTGTTCAATAGGGTCCGATTCATGACACTGAATGTCTTAGCAATATTGAAGGACGCATTTTCGGGGGGGGGGGGGGGGGGGGTNATATCCTATTTGCATTAACAATAATGTATTTTTTAATTCTTTGTGTTTTCAGCCATGGGAAGTGAATAGCACCATCCTGACAGAGAGGTTTCTCCAAGACGTACAAAACATATATCAAGCTGATGTCTTACCTCAGTTCAAGTAAGTTCTATCCTCAAAATTACACACATTCACATCACCCCTTTCACCACACATATATATTTACATTCTGTATGCCTCGACCCATTGGCGAAAATGACATTCGTTTTTGCATAACACTGGTGACCTCATCACTGCGTATTGATACACTTTTGTGACGTAGCACAGGGCGTAGTTTGTACACGTCCACTGTGAAACAGCCCTAGGTGTAGTTTAGTTATGCTAATAGGATTAACATTAAACATGATAGGGCTTCATTTTAAAGCTCAAGTGAGGTGTGTAAGGTACATGATAATAATATCCGACTTGTGTAAATTCTACAAATTAAATTTTGAAAATGGAACTATATTCTGTTTGTTTTGTTGTCATGCTGTTGCTAGGACCCCCAGCGAAAGTTTTACACTTTTCCACGAAGACGCACTGTTCTCTCTACTGCATTGCTGCCATGCATAAATAGATAAAAAAAGATACTGACCCCAGTATTATTTTTATTTATGCTGGTATCGGAAAATTCAAAGCAGTCAAAAATGTAAATATAAGGAATGAAATTTAATTTTTGCAACATTCATGAGGTCATAATAAAATTGGCTTTCTGGACATATTTACCAAGAATCGCCTAGAAAAAATAAATTTCATTCCTTAAATAACACCTCACACATGATCATGACATGACCACTTGGTGATCAATTTCCATTGTTTACTTGCACTCAGACCGTTCTCTCAGGTCTTACAAATTGTCCTCTATTACATGGATAGCCCACAGGTACTCGTCGGTCAATACACCTATAATATAATCAAGGTTGCTAACTCTGTCCCCCTAGTAAAATGACCCCTTTCCAGAAAACATGCGATTTTGTTATAACTGTTCATAATATGACGCCGGGAGCAGTCTAGATCAACAGAAAAATATCTTTTTTTTTTAATTTAATGTATGATTTGCAATATATCATGCAGTATCATTTTCAGTAGACTTTATGAAACATCGAAAAATCAGTAGTGGGTAGCGCAAAACACGACATGTCAGCTATTCATTGTCGGTACATTTTACTGCATGATATATGGCCAAGTTCTTTGCCGTTCCAAATAATTCTTTCAAAAAAGACAAAAGTTTTTCCTTCAGGTTATCATTGGAAAGGTGGTGAAGGAAAGATACAGTGATTTAAAGTGAAACATTTAATTTAAATTTCTTATGAAAAGTTATGATTTATTTGAAAGTATCTCCCAGAAATCACTGCAAGAAATTAGTTGCTTCATGTACTGTTTGTGTTATATATATACTTCTCATTTGCAAATAAGATTTATACAGAAAACTGTTTCATCATTACAGGGACCTGTCTGAGATGAAAACCTTTGACATGACTAGTCCACTGGACTACGAGCTGGTGAGTCGCAATAGTGACCTCGGTCTGTATTCATTAGGGGTGTCACAATACGCCGAGAGTGTATTACGATATATATTGCAATAGAGAATGAATATATTGCAATACGTATCCCGATATTCTGTCATAGGACGAATGTGCTCAATTTTATAATAAGTTGTTGTCAGAATGTTATCAAACTTAATCATATATAATATGGATTACATAGATTTGTCAAACCAACCATCGATTACAAAATTTGAACTACTAAAAGCCTGCTTTATCCTTATTGGCATGTTCAATTAATTCTAACCATGCATACATATTCATATATTTTTTACCACCTTCAGTTTTGAATTGATGTAAAAATGTAGGAGTACTACAAACACTAACATCCTGACTGACAATGCACTTCCTCTACATTGGTCTATCGCCTCTCCTTTCCTCTTATTTATGTTATGTTATGTGTATGTTATTAGTGGTAATGTTTCGGTATGTTAACCCTTTCAACCCTATGTAACTTTAGTAGACTCTACCATGCATTGATCTGGATGAGTCCATCATGGTCTACAGTGGTAAAAGGGTTAATATCATACTGTTTATGAAGTAGTGTTATAAATAAGCATCATTGTTATAAATGTGTTTGAAAAAAGTGAGCGTAAGAGAGTATGATAAATTATTGCCATGTTTATATGTAATCTATGTTGTGCTGTAAGTAAGTTTCTGAAAAATAAAAAATAAAACAAAACCTTACCAATCCCTTCGGAGGAGCGACATCCGACTTCAGAGCTGGACAACTTTTCTTTTTTTTTTTTTTTTTTGAATTTGTTGAATTATTTCAACAGTACATTAAACATAACACATCATATTTCAGTCTCACATTCTTAATTTTCACACAAGTTTTTTGTTTGTCTTGACATTTTTTTAACATTCTTATATTTAGAAAAACAATTATTTTCTTTGTAAGTTTGAAACAAGATACATAAAATAATATTGTATACATTGTAGTTGAGAAACAAACAAATACAAAAAAAAAGAAAAAACAGACAGTTTGGCTATTTTCACATGTTGAAACCAGGATATTAGGTGTTATGTACCATTGTATTGTTTTAGAAGAAGATATAGGAAAGAAAAGAGTAATGAAAAGAGAGAGAGGGACAAGAAAGAAAAGGAAGGTTGGAGAGGTGTCGAAGGATTTGACAAGGGCTTATTGTTCAATATTGTGTAAATTTTTGTACATAGGCTACCTTTAACAGGAATTACATTGGTACTATATTATTATAATTAATTTACATTTCATTTATATGGCCTGCAGTAATCTTTCCCATTTTTTCCATTCCCTTTTAAAATTAGTGAGATAATTTTCACCATTACCTACAGCAATGTATTTTTGAGTATTGTAAATATCTTTAATTAAGTTTTTCAAAGCTAAAACTGATAGACCAGTTTGCAGACATCTAGCTTTATAAATATATAGTTTAATGATAAGAAGTACTAAATTATCAACATTGTTTTTT